TATTTTCATCATTTTCCTTGTGGAACTGCAGAGACTGGGATAACGTTAGACTTCGATAAATCCAAACCTGTTTCTACACCCTTCTCCAGCTCATCCAGCACCTGCTTCACAAACCTCCTCCCCAGCTACCTAAGAGGAGCCTCCGGGCACCCTCTCCCCTCAGCCATTACCTGCCGAAGGTTGCGTGTCACTTTGACATCGTGCCAGGCGTTGTCGTTGAATTTTCCATTCACTGGCTCCACAATGGCCTCAAAGGCCCCGGACCCCAGGTTAATGACCAAGGAGACCGCGCCATCCTTCAGAGCCAGGTTGACATAGTCAGCCGACTTGCCCGTGTGCAGGATGAGCCCATTCCGCTGCCAGGTCTTAAAGGAGAGGGTGATTTCATCACTGCTGCTCTGGATCGGGTTCTGAGACAGGTCGTAGCACAGGTACTCAGAGCCTCGGAACGTGGCCACGTTCTCCTCTCGAGCTGCAGGAAAAGGAAAGAGGAAAGCAGTCAACACTTGACTGGCATGAGTCAGACGTACGCGAATACCAAAGAGAACACATCCCCCAGGGCACTGCCCCTGCCAGTGAGCCTAGGGCAGCACAAGCTCCCTCCGACTCTTCCACCACCAAACCTGTGTCTAAGTACCACGAAAACCGCTAGAGACAGTAACTGCAAAAAAGCTACGTCTCCTCACAGGGGTAGAAGACCAGCACAACGGTACAGGAGAGCTTGCTGCCTTTCCCTCACATTTTCTCAGAGGAAAACCTGGAGGGAAATTTTATGCTACGTGGTAAAGTGAGGCTTACATTGCTTTTGCTTCAATGATGGCTTTTCAATGCTTGTGCCAGAGCTGGTTTAGAATGGATAATTAACTCTTCTGACAAAGGGTTCTTTAGCTCTAGGTACCTTTTATTGACCAATAACTAGAAATCAATTACCCTGAAAGATCTGTCTCTAATTTCCATCCATCAATAATAACCCAGCTAACTTTGGTTTCCATGGTAGAGTCCTGAGCCCAGGGGAATGTGACAGGGTTACTAAATAGGAGGTTGAACCAGGAAAAAAAGGTGATCATCAAGCAGATGAAGCAAAAGGGATAGAATGAAATTTGGTAATATGCTTTGACAAGACAGCAATAGCTCCCTTAGACACAAAGGGATCTCTGCTCCAGGGGTCTCTGATTTACATGGCCCTTGTTGGACCATCCTAGAGAACATCTTTCCCCCATAGGACTAGGGGTCTGCAGGGCCAAGACAGCATTCCAGTGAAGCACACACTCTCTTTCAGAGCCATACACTGGGATCCTCTAGTTTCCCACCCGGAGAGCCCAAGGCCTGTTTCCAGGACTTGTGCAGACCTCGTTCCTGGACTCGTTTTCCAATAGAAAATCATGCACTGGTGTGCATACCTTAAGATCTGAGGGCTAACAATGGGGGACCCTCTTCAGGGCTTTGGGCAGAGCTTGGCCACATGGGCATCCATGCACATTTATACGAGAGCCCTTGTGGATACAGGGAGGAGCCCAAGGTAGAAAGAGGAGGGGGACAGGCTACAGGCTGACAACCAGAGGGGCTGGTTCTCCCTGTGCCAGCAACTCCCAGTGTAGAATGCTGAGGAATCCAAAAATTCTAAGTGTGCACCTGGCTTACGTAGTTTCAAAGGTATATTTGTCAAGATAAGAGGATAAAACAAGTTTTATTTTTATTTGTTGATGTAATTTACAATTTCAACACACACCCTATGGCCTTCCTTGTTGTGTTCTTCTGCCAAGCCTACCTCATCCCAGGGTTGGCCAAAAGCTATCAAAAGCACATCATTAATGAAAGGAAATGGGCAAGAAAAGGTTGGACATGCAGTTTCCCGTTCAAGAATGGGGGCTACCAAATAAAGTAGAGCACATTCTATTTTCTCTTCTAGAACCACACTTCAGCCTTAGTAACCAAAGTCCATTCTACTTCAGCTTAGCTCCTTATCAACCATCACAGGCAGCCCTCGCTAAGTCACTTAGGTAAAATAAACATATTCTCATCATGAGGTAAGAGCTGAGGTCATCATATGGGAGAGATGACCACCCACTACATACTATATTAAACTGATCATAGCATCAAAAGACATCATTAAAACATGAACCCCAACTTCATACTCCAGAGAGTTAAAGATTAGGTTTGCCCTGTGTCTTCCAGAGGATCGCAATGATATGTGTCTACCTGCATATTCCTTTTTGCACGCACCCATACGCACACACACCACCACCACATTAGTATAAGCAAGAAGACCTGTTTACCTATAAATGACCACAATGTCTCCTACACACATATAAGTAGCAAGTACTACTTGGCATATAAGCCATGTCTAATGCATTTTACCAAACAGAGCCAAAAAAAATAAAATCATGGAGCAGCAATTTGATACCATCTGTATGTTTGAAACAGATCTGTCCACGCCCTAGTGCCCTGTCTATTGTCATGATCTCTCCTCTCATTTCTGAAGAAACGGCTTTGTTAAAATGCAACCGGATGAGCCTTTGTTTCGTACACCAGGAGGTAAGCCTGTCTCGAGGAAAAGACAGCAAATCAAATGCAGTTATCACCACCAAACTCTTCTCCTATGGATGCAAATGTGCATGGAGCCAATTACTATGCCTGTCCTCGGCACCACATGTGGTATATTAACGGGTGTCTTCTATACACATTTAAGTTCTACCTTATGTGCCCACTGAACTGAGATAAATGAACAAGGAAATGAGTGCCTCTAAAAAGATGCTTAAATTAATCATTGAGTACCCCTCAAAGGGGAAAGGCTTGACTGAGAACACTAAGGCACCAGGATATCATTTGATGTGCTATGTGGTGCTTAATATTTGACATGTAATTAAACCAAGGAGTATATAAAAATAAGTTTTAGAGCTTATAAGGGATTTTAGAGCCTGCCTTATTTAATGCCCTTATTTTATCAAGGAAGAAACTGAAAACTAAGAATAAGTGAGTTACCCAAGACCACAGTCAGCCCGTGTTACTCTGGACTTCTAGTGCCTATCTAGACTTTTCTCTAAATATGCTTTTACACATAGCTCTGGATGTACCTCATGTTCCTACTCTAGTACCCAAACGGCATGAATGACTCCACAGAACCATGCACTAATTTACAAACCATCCCAAACCTTGGATAAATTGAGCCAGAAACCTATTCCCCCCAACCCCATGTAAATCACAATTGCTCACCAAAACTAGTATTTCCCTTTCCCCCTTGGAATTTGGGCATGCTTAAAGCAAAAGGACTTGTTTTATGTGGAAGGCCATAGAAGAAAAATGACATCATTGTAGAGAAGAGAATAGCACAATAAGTAAACAAGAAATAAAACCAACGTGAGAAATCGTCTATGTAAATCACATGCATATTTATGCTAATCTGTATGCAAATCAGCCAAATGAAGATTTTTATGTAGCCGAGCAGGTTCCTTTGCAAGTATCTAACAAAAATGCTGTAACAATTCACAACCATCCCAATCTCCTCATTCAATAACTTCTCCAAGTTCACCTCTTCCTAGGGCTGGCAGAAGCTACCAAGAGCATCACCCCAGATGCTGGTTATCTCCTCCACATATCAACACACAATGGGCAATGGAAAGCCACTCTCTGAGTCATATTCTAGATAAGCAACATTGTAACATTTTTGAGGTACCGGATGCTTTCCTCCTGTGTGGGAAGGAGACGCACTGGCAGTGCATGACCCTGTTTTCAAAGGAGTAAATGAGGGCCATGGAAGGAGAGTGAGGACCTTGAAAAAAAAATGTTCCTTTGCATACTCCTGCAACTGATTTTCTCCTAAGATTCCAATTTGTCTTAATTTCCCTTTGGTAGCCAAAGCTTAAGCACTGTCTTATCACCTTGAAAACCATACTGAATTGACAATGGACAAAACTAAAAGGCACAAAACTAAATAGTGACAAGCACATTTCTAAGCCCATTCAATTCTCCAAACTCTCCATTAGAAAAATGTAATATTGCCCCAAATCTGTTTCTATACTTAGTGTTTACACAGAGGAGGAGGTTGAAGAGACAATGCAGTCACCTTGTATGTATTCAAACTAAATAGGTAGAGAAAACAAATGCAGGGGATTATGTAACAGAGTACACAACAGCTTAGCATAAAGCTACAGCTTGGCAAGAGGGCATGCACTGACATGGCTAATGGACTGTTTAGATCCACTTAAATTTTATCACCCCAAAGTTTATAATCAATTGCATAAGTGTTAAAATAAAAATGTTATTCTCACTGCATGGAAAGCAGAGCTCAACTCTGTATAACAACAAATCGTTTACCCATTATTTGTAAATGTCCAAACGATTAAATACTAGATGCAATCTAGATATGTATAACCCAAGATTTTAAATCAGTTTGTATAAGATATGTAAAGTACTGATCTTTCAAAAGGCTTGTTAATCCAACTACTATATATAAATAGCATTAACAAGCATTTATTCAATTCTATTTTCCACTCTCTCCCCACCAAAAAAAAAAACAAAAAACACCCAACCAGTGATTTATATAATAATATCTCTATTTCTCTGAGAAACTGCAAAAGAGATTAAAATATTCAGTGTAATATGTTTTTACTATGCAATCTAAGAAGTGTGGTGAATGCATATCACTGTTTAATTGGGTCTGTGCTTTCTGATAGCTTGGTGTCTCAGGCTTTGAGATCAAGAAATCCAGGCTTTATTCTGAAGGTTATGAGGAGCCATTGCACAATTTTACTGAAAGGATGGAGGATCCCATTTGTGTTTTTAAAAGAACACATAATCTTTTACAAAAATATTTTGCAACTCAACTCATATTGGGTTGAATGTGAACTGAAAAGAAGAGGGAAATGAAGGCAGAGACCCCAGTTAAAAGATGAGAACACATTTGAACTGCTTTTCTGAGGGTGCCTGGGACTAGCTCAACTTGGATGTTGACACCATCCCCAAGTAAGGTTTGCCTTGCGCTGAGCAAGAATGCAAGCAAAAGGCTCTCAGGTAGTGGCAAAGGCAGAGGTACTGGCAAATCATCGACCATGAGAAGAAGCCAGAGTTTGGACATTTACGATCCAAATCAGCCACGGAACACCAAAGACGGGAGGTAAATATTGAGGAACAATGATACGTCAGACATGAAAGGGCTCAAGCGAGAACATGTCAGGCGTGGGTAAAGGAGGGTTCTAGGCCCATCTGCAAATACACGTTCACAGTTGTGTAAATGTCCTATATTTCCAATTGCTTTCTTGTTATTTGTGGTCTCTCAACACTCTAAGAGGTCACTTTGCTATGATTATGCCAGTGTGAGGAACTGGAAGCACATAGTTTAGATGGGTTATCCAGGGCACTAAGAAGCATTTAGGCTGGTTCCAAATCCTTAGTCCTCTGATTCTCATTCCAATGCTTTTGCTATGACATCATACCACCATTTGGCCAGGAACTCAAACTCTCAGAGGAACAGAT